TAGGGTTAAGGATAGCAGGGTTCTAGGTCCCATGATGCCTCCGGGTAGAAGTGTCCCAAGGGGAGCACTCTATGAGGCTGCCTGGGTCCCCTTCTCAGGGCACTGATGGCTCCCTGCTGCATATGCTGCTGGAACTTTCCTGTGTAGGCCAAAGAATGCCTCCCTGCCTTACTCGTTGACCCCTTCCCAGGGGAAGCCTTTATCCTATGACTGGTCAGTGTGGGTAGGTACAAAAGCCCTTTAAAGGTTAATGACTGGCCTACTGTTCAGTCGGACTGTTTATTCTTGCCCTTGTGTTTCTTAACAAAATATTCTCTTTTCTTCCTGTCTAAACTCTATCACTCCTAAAACATTTAACTCAGCTCCTATTTCCTTCATGAAGTTTTCTTTGGCAACTCCAGCACACACTAATTTCTTACTTCGTTTTATTTCTGTGGTATCCAATCCCCTATATTTGTTTAAATGCTTTCCAATTTACAAACTGTCTTTATATATCTGCCCTGATTGAATCCTCAAATCCATGATTTGCTCAAAACAAAAGTCGTTATTCATCATTCCCTTCCACACAGTGTTCTTGCCACTTAACAGTGCTGCCTCCTCGGAGTGCATTTATAGCCGTGTCATTTATTTAAATTACATGCACCAAGGTGTGGATTTGGGCTTCATACTTGCTGCTGTAGACATTTTCCCTTCTCTATCCAAAGGATGTAGTCAGGCCTGTGTGTTCCACTCACGGTTCTGCTGATAGCACTGATGTTTCAGGCTTGGAAGGAAAATTTGTCAGGTCCCTGGAACCTACCTTCATCTAGGTTTTCTAAAGTACAGACAGTCTGCGGCAGGACTGGGTGAGAGGAGAGTTGCATCCACATGTTGGGAGAGGCAGCAGTTCATTGAGGCTGGGGAGGAGAGAGGCTGTGAGCATTTTAGCCAAGACTTGGGAAAGAATCTTCCAAGGTCCATTAGTAGTGAGGACTAGTCTCTCTTCTCCTTATTTTAGACATATGAAACAATGATATGATTCCAAAATTAAACTGTCTTATGAAGCATATTCAGAAAAATATCACTTGCATTCCCTTTTCCCTCTTTTCTATCCTCTTTATCACTATGGGTAGCCATATTTTAAAAGTCTTTGTTTTATTTTTATAAATCTCAGTAAATAAACACTCACGTAAAAGATGCATTATATACATACTTTTCTCAACTTTTCTCTTTTCACTTAATGTGTCTCAAAGATAATATTTGTATACAGGAATCTGTTTTGTTCTTGTTTTTATTGCAAAGTATTCTACTGTGTGATTGTATCATAGTTTAATCATCTGGTTCCCTGCTGACAGATATATGGGTTATTTATTATCTTTTGCTATTACGAATAATTTCACAATAAATAATCTGTTCACAAATCATTATTTTCCCAAGTGTATATTTGGGATAAATTCTTAGAGGTAGAAATGTCAAAAGGTAAATACATCTGCCTTTTTTATGTGTGTTGCCAAATTGTTGTCTCACTGGTTGTTGCATTCCCACCAGAAATTTATGAAAGTTACTATTACTAATATTCCCCCAATATGTTTTATTGTTGACCTTTCAGATTTTTCCAATTTGATAGGTGAGAAATACTTTCTTATTGTGGTATTATTTTAAATTTCTCTTATTAAATGAGATTGACCATTTTTTTTTCTTTTAGGATCATTTAAAATTTATGCTTTTAAACTACCTATTCATATCCTTTGCCTATGCTTCTATTGGATTACTGGTATTTTTATCTGGGATTTTTGGGAGCTCTTTTTATATTAATTCTGCTGCCCTTATTTCCCCCTATGCATTTTTTTTTCTTTTAGGATCATTTAAAATTTATGCTTTTAAACTACCTATTCATATCCTTTGCCTATGCTTCTATTGGATTACTGGTATTTTTATCTGGGATTTTTGGGAGCTATTTTTATATTAATTCTGCTGCCCTTATTTCCCCCTATGCATTTTTTTTTCTTTTAGGATCATTTAAAATTTATGCTTTTAAACTACCTATTCATATCCTTTGCCTATGCTTCTATTGGATTACTGGTATTTTTATCTGGGATTTTTGGGAGCTCTTTTTATATTAATTCTGCTGCCCTTATTTCCCCCTATGATATCAGTTATAAATAGTTTTTCCAAGTTTTTAATTTAAATTTTGAGTTTGTTTATAGTGTTTTTGCTATGCAGAATACTTTTAGGTTATTAGTCAGTTGTTCATTCTCTTTTCTTGAATTGTAACTGGATATTGAGATAGCTAGGAAAGTTTCCCTGATGCATATTAAAAAGGCATTCATCCTTGTCCTCTTTCAGTCTGTATGTTATTTTTTATTTCTGATCTTTTTGAAGTTTATCCTGATGCATGATGTGAGGTGCAGATCCAATTTTATCTTCACTCCAAAGTCTTTCTAGTTGTCATGAAACAAATGATTAAAAAGTTTACCAGGTAATTTTTAGTCACACTAGCAATTTACCAGGTATGACTAGTCATCCTATAGTTTGAGGATATAGGTTAAAAGGATGTCAAAGCCTTTTTAGAAGAAAAATGAAACACTATGGAAAGTATATGCAAGCTTTCCAGATATGGAAAAAATTTATATGCAAACACTTAAAAAAGTCAAGAATGATGTTTGTCAGACACACATTAATACATATTTATCTGGAGCTCATATTCAACATCTTTCAAACCTTTTCTAACTTCCCCCTTCAAACTTCTCATTTTAAGTTTGACAATTTAAGGTTTCCTGGAGAGTAATATTCTCTCATTCTTCAGAAAGAAAAAAATAAATTATAAAAACTGGTTTGTCAAAATGTAAATCTTAGTTCTCTACATATTTCATTACAAATTTTTCAGTAAAAGAAGATTAAATACTAATGGAACAAACTTTTAATAAATATCTGGAAGCTTTCCAAGGTGAAAAATCAGAACAAACATGTTTTTAAAACATAGCAATTAAATACAGACGTAATGTTGTTGGTGATCACACTCTCTCATTATGTGGTTTCATCTGCCTGCTCTGAAAATCAGCATGACCAAAAGGCAGAGTTAAAGAGAAAACATTTTGCCCAATTTCTGTGTTTTCTGAGGATAAAATTACTGTCCATATCAATACCCTCTAGCCACAAACCATCAGGAACACACCTGTAGTGGAATGATTTGGATTTATGCTCCTTGTAGTGACAGAATGAGGCAGACCATGCACCTAACCATGGGAAACTGTGGGGCATCTCAGTAAGAGTGTCAGAAAGAGCTTGTTATGGGATTTAGGTTTGTAGTGGATGATTTTGGGGAACATTTAACAATGTGGGCTTTGCTCTGGATTGGATGCTACCGGGAAGCAGGGATAATTCTATGATTGGGTATCTTAATATATCTAATGTAAAAGGAGGGAAAACCAGAGTGCCATTAAAGTTATAGCAGTATCCACTTATAGTACCCAACACAGAGATGCGTGACCATTTTTCTGGCTTGAACAATGTTTACATTGCTGTCTGTATGTAGGCATGATTACAAAGTGGTCTTGTTTTCATCTTGATCAATCATAGTCACACAGTGCCTCCTCTGCTGTTGGCGTTCTGTGGGAAAGTGTTTTTTAGCAGGAGAGCAGCACAGCCCAGCTGTATCAAAACAGTTTCCAGGTGTCAGGGGCTGCTTTTTACTTTTTTGCACTCCAAATATTACAGTACTTTTCCTTTTTTTGGTTCACTTTGTACACACACAAAAATACCTGTATTTATTAGCGCAACAAAATTCCAGCTACCATAGCAAGCAATTTCAAAATCTCAGTTGCCTAGTGTAATAATTGTTTCTTATGCACACAAAATTGAATGCAGATATTCCTTACTGGGACAATCTTTATTCATCTAGTGTGCCACATGGGGCCATGCTCTATATTTGGCTTCCAAATTTTCCACAGGTGGGAAAGAGAAAGAAGAGAAATCACAGCAGATAATTAAATACCTTGTGGAAGAATTGATAGACTTTACTTTATATGTCATTGGCTAGAATTAATTATATGACCCTGCATAGATGTGAGGGGGTGTATTAGTCAGGGTTCTCCAGAGAAATGGAACTAACAGGGTGTATATATGTGTGTGTATGTATATATTCTTATATATGTGTGTATGTATGTATATATATACACATATATATGTGTATACACACACACACACACACACACACACACACACACACACACACACACACACATATATATATATATATATATATATATATATATATATGCAGGGATTTATTTCAAGAAATTGGGCTCACAACATTGGACAGGTACAAATCCCAAATCTGCAGGATGGGCCATCAGGCTGGAGATGCAAGGAACAGTTTCAGTTGAAGCCTGAAGGCCATTTGTCTGGCAGAATTCCTTTTTACTTGGGGGAGGTCAGTCTCTTGTTCTTTTCAGGCCTTCAGCTGATTGGATAAAGCCCAACCACATTATGGAACAGAGTCTACTTTACTCAAAACCCATGAATCTAAATGTTAATTTCATCCAAAAACACCTTTACAGAAATATTCAGGAACAAAAACTTTGGCACTATGGCCGAGCGAAATTAACACATAAAATTAACTATCATAGGAGAGTGTGGGATTTTTGTTTGGGCTATTTCTCCAATCACTTGGTCTTTGGTCATCAGCCAGGTTTCTTGCCAAACTCTTACTTTATAACACATATTGTTCCATAAGATGCATATCGTATAAGCACATGTGCATTCATATACGTCTAGCACTTACAGTTTTACAGTCCGTGTAACAGGTAGGATGGTGATTGCTAGTTCCATTTTACAGATAAAGAAAATAAAACTAAGGTAGATGATGTATGGATGGTCACATGGCAAGGAGGTGAAAGACCCAAGACTAGAAGTTAGATTTTCCCTTCTCTTATCCACCACAGAGATAAACATCATAAAACAAATTAAATTTTAAAAAGCATTGTTGAAATTGATAGGAAGAGGGAAAGATTTGGACTTACGTCATCATACAGAGGTTGCAGCTGTGCCCAGGCTCACAAGGGCGAGAAAACTTCCAAACTCCTCAGCAGCCCGCTGATCACCAAAGGTGTGTGGGAAGGGAACAGGATCCTCCTTTTGCCCTTTCACTGGGCTCCAAGCCGCAGTTGGGTTTGATCCTCACCAATTTATTCTTCTCTTTTTCTTTTTCCTTTTTCCTGTTCTGCTGCAGTAATTTCCCCCATGAAGTCCCTGGCAGGCTCTGGTGCTCCTCCTCTGAAATACACCTGAGCTGTGCCTGTTCCAGCCTTTCCTTTATCTGAAACCCTTCCTTCCCTCCAGGAAGCTCCGACAAGTGATGTCTCTAGTCGGCCATCTTGCTCTCTCATGATAAGTGATGTCTCTAGTCGGCCATCTTGTCCTCTCATGATAATTGTTTTTAATTTCTTTAAAGATGCCTTATTCCTGGGTATAAAAGGGTAATGCAAGTGAATCAAAAACATGCTAACAGGAGAGGAATTGGTTCAAAATGACACCCTAGGACATTTTGGGGAAAAGTATATTTATTAATGATGACAAATTAAAATAGCTTCTTCTAATTGTACCACTCTCCTTCCTTATATCCATCCTTGACTAGCAAGGCCAAGGAGCAGATAATTGACAAACAATTTCTGTGACTTTAGTAAAGAACATGGTTTGAACTATCAAACCTGCTCTTTCTGGCATCTGGACTGACATTCAGTTTACCGGAGGGGGAGGGAGACAGGAAACCATGGGGCTGAGTAGAAAAGGGAAGCAGAAGCCAGCACTGCAGAGCTGCAGAGAACATGAGGCCTATTGGAAGGTTGGAAGGTTATGTGTGTGAACTATGATACGTCAAAAAAGTCCCCAAATTGTTCTCTCTCTCGCCAGTCTTTTCTATTGATTCATATTTGTCTTGTATTTATATCTGCTGTTAAGAATGACACAGAAACAAAGGAGACTGTGGGTAGGATCAGTACTTAGGATAAAAAAAGCTTTGCATTATTTTCTTGGTTGTCAAGTTTCACTGATTCAGAACAACTGGTGATTTCTCTCTCCATAGATTTAATTATGTTCACTGTCAGAGACATAAGCCACAGGAAAGGACAGGACAGCAACTTTATTTTAAGCTGGGTTGAGTATCACTAAATCTCCCAATTCCTATCAGCTCTAGAATTATAGTTCTTTTCTCTAAGAAATGCTATATACTTAAAATTTTTAAGAAAATATTTCTTTTGAATTCAAGTAACCATTTTAGTCTTAGAACATTAGTCAGAGTAGGGACAGGACTATAATAATTAGGTAGCATTTTAGAAACATTCACAAAGAGGGTTTACTTTTATGATATAAAGTCCATGTATTAAAAACTGTGGAGCATGTGCAAGAAGTAAAATATGTGTTAAATATTTTATTCATACAAAATATGAAGTATACTTTAAGCAACATCTATTTAATACTTACAAGGTAGTCATTTCTTTGTGCATGGAAATCTCATTGTAACTCAAAGGATTTGCTCAAATAGATAGCGTATGATAAAGATATTTTCAAAATGCCTAATTTCTTTTTCTGATGTACAGTTAAGATGAATGCCATATTTTCTGTTCAACATTTTATTGCTTATCAAGCAAAGAACCTAATAATATGATGGTTAGACTTAGATGGCTTTTCTAACAAGTTAATTCATTTTTCTCTATATTGGATTATGTCAGCCAATTGATCAGATATGAAGTTAAACATTGATTAATTCTGAAAAAAAAATTCTATGATCCAATTAGATGCCAGCTGGTGTGAATTATGCATTCAATTTGACTTCCCAACACTTTTTCCCATTTGATAGTTTCATTGATGTATAAAAGATTTTCATTCATATTTTCATCACTTAATGGGATGGTTAATTTTATATGTCAACTTGGCTGAGCCATAGGATTCCCAGGTATCTGATTAGACATTGTTTCTGGGTGTGTCTGTGTGGGTGTTTCTGGAAGGCATAAGCATTTGAATTGGTAGAATGAGTAAAGCCAAAGTGATGGATGGCCATCCCCAATGTGGGTGGGTGTCATCCAATCTCCCGGGGGCCTGAATAGAACAAAAGGCAGAGACAGGCTGGGCTTACTCTCTCTTTGCCTGATTCCTGACTGCATGAGCCGGAACACTGATCTCCTCTTACTCTTGGTGCTCCTGGTTCTCAACCTTCAGACTCAGACTACAATCTACACCGTGGCTCTTAACCCTTTGAACTATGCTACTGGATTTTCTGGGTTTACAGCTGGCATATAGTAGATCATGGGACTTCTTAGCCTCCATAATTTCATAAGCCAATATCTTATAATAAATCTCTATCTCCTATTAGTGCTGTTTCTCTGAAGAACCTTGACTAATACACCTAATGAGAGGTCTTATTACTGCTTTACCTACCACACATTCCCAAAGACGTACTACTTGATAATGTTCAAAGGGAATATTATATAGAAGAATTCAATATCATATAACACAACAGAAAATCATTGTAGGATTTAGTTTGCAAAATGTAAATCCTATTTTGTTAAGGAAAAGCCCATGTTCAAGAGGAGCAAGAAGCCAGTGTAGCTTGAATAGAATAAGTGATTTGGATTGGATTTTGCAAGGCATTTAGGTCCTGATTGGGGGTTTGAAATTTCTTCTGAATAAGCTGAGAAGAGGGAAGACATTGATAGGTTTTGAATGAGGGAATGAAATGATCTGATGTTTTTTTCTTCAATGTTCACTGTGGGTACTGTGTGTAAAATTGCCCAATGTGAAGCAAATGTAGAAGCAAGGATAAACACCTGAAATAACCTAAAAGTTGTGGAGGAGGTTATTGTGGTGAGACATACTGGATTTGGGATATCTTTTAAAAGCAGAACTCTCAGGATTTCCTAATGGATTAAATGTGGGGTGGAAAGTCAAGAGAACAAGCAAGATGATTCTGAGGTTTTGGGATTGAGCAAAATAGATGAAGCATGGAACTAATTATTGACAATAAACGGAGACTAACAATTTAATTGACTTAAAATTATTCACACATGCAAAAGACAACATTATTCATTTATTACCATTACTTTTAAAAGCCAAGTAGATGTATACAATGTATTGTCAGTGAATTATTCTGCATTGCCATTAAAAGTCTATCATTGAAAGTTTTATGATAAAAAGATTGTTTGAGCTCCAAGAGATTACTATACTTTCTTATAACACCTCTGCTGGTGGGCAGCACACAGTTAGGGCAGACTCCTGAGTAGATGGGTAATAACACTGACTTAGATGACATTATGGTCTCTATTTATATCCTCCACTGGCTTTATAGTCTCCTTTCTGGGACCCTTATATAATCAGTCAGGTAGGTTTCAAAAAGGATTCTGTTCTCAGAATTGAGAAAGGGGCCAAAATTACAAAAAAAAAAAAAAAAAAGGATTCTGTTAGTATCTTATTATTCTTTCTTTGGAAGATGCAACTTAAGAGAAGACAGCTTCCTATTGCATCTTAATCTTCCCAATCTAAACTAAGCTTGACCAAAGGTGAAGACATAATTAGAAGTACCACAGGGTCCTTCCTGTCCTGTATTCTTAGATATATCTTTTATTCAAAGAAATAAAATGAAAGGTGATGAGTTCTGATGTTTAATTACAAATGTAGTGGGGTTCTGAATCCCTAAACTGTTTAGTTTTCATTACTGTCTTCCAATTTTACTTTTCAGTGGAAGAAAGGTGACATGATATGGCTGGTGCTGTGTGTTCTTTTCTAATCTTTCCCTAGATAAGAAAGAAAGTGAATAGCTCCTCTGATCCTATGTTGTGATAAAGGTGATACACACTGTAGTCTAAACATTAATGTGCAAAACTGTAATCACATCTGGCTGGTGGGCAGATCAGTTTTCTTTGTCTTCAATCTCTCCTGTTGTATTTCTGTGAAGTGCTGTCACAATGAGTGATAGAGGGGTTGAAGCTATAAATTCAGGATAATGATTCAGTTATACAAGCAGAAATGGTATCTTTCTTATAGAGAAATCCTTATGTATAAGTAGAATAGAAAACTACTTATATGTGAGAGATTTTAAAGTGTGAAGGAAGAAAGCCTCACTGCATTTCCAAACCTCTTTCTTACTCCTTGGAGAATGCCAAGAATTATACAAGTAAGACTATAGTCCTTAACTCAAAACTTAGTAAAGATGCAGACAACTTGAATGCACACCATGTTATGATGGGAATAGCTATGAAGCAGATTTTGAGATAATGTAAGGACACAAACCCATCAGACGATTGCAGCTGGAAAAATGGAATTGTTACTAGAACGGGGGAAAAGTGCATAGAAGAAAAAATTACCTTCATAACAATGTTGTCTTGTATTGACCCTATATATATATATTTTTTTATCTAAATGACATTTTCCCCTATGAGTTAGCTGTGCATATGCTTCTGTGTTTTTTTTATTTCCTTGTTTTCTTCAAGCTACATAATATAATCAACATAAAATTATTAGAAAATTTATCTACATTTTAGATTAGTCTTTTACCAATAATTTATCTGTTTCTGGTATGTTTTCCATTAAGAAGGAGTCCTATTAAAGACAGTTAAAGTGAAATATCTTACTAACATTTGACAAAATTGCTATCTGGCCAGGTCTGGCTGTCTTTGCAAGCCTCATGGAGATTGACATGATCGAACAAAGAAACAGGATCACAGAATCACAGGTATTTTAGAAAGCAAATTAAGTTCATTGAATTTTTTCTCCAGACTTACTTCAACACAGAGACAGCTTGAACTGATGAAACAAGTTGGTTGGGAGATATATATTTTATTTTCAAGTGTACATTTTCCATATCTACATTTAACCCCTTTCACCTTATTTGAAAAACAGAAAAAAAAAAAAAACCCTGCTACTTATCAACTCATAGTGATGTTGTAATAATCAAGCAAATTTTTAAAAGTTTATGCAAAGGGAGACCGAGATTTCTAGAATGGCAAAGTAAGGAGCTTAGCTGGACTCTCTCCTCAGCAAATAATAATTTAACTGGTGAAAATTATTCAAAATGAACATCTAAAGTCTTTAAATTGCCCAGAAGGCATACAGAGAATAGAAAAACATTTATTCAAGAAAATCTACTAAATCTCAGTTAGAATAGAAAAAGTTGGCTTTTGAGTCATGGCTGGCTCTCTTATATTACTCCCCAACTCTGTGATAATGAAGTTCTATATGAGGTGTTTATAGCCAAGAAGCCAAGGGACTCTCTCTAGCTCCCAGTCTGGGGCTATGGTTTCTTTCTTCTTCTTTTTTTTTGAGACAAAGTCTCACTCTGTTGCCCAGGCTAGAGTGCCGTGGCATCAGCCTAGCTCACAGCAACCTCAGACTCCTGGGCTCAGGCAATCCTTCTGCCTCAGCCTCCCAAGTAGCTGGGACTACAGGCATGTGCCACAATG